TATATATATATATATATATATTTATTTATTTATTTATTTAAATTAGGGGCTCACATTTTGTGACGTTTGATAAAATATTGTAATAAATAATTTAATTAAATAGGCCGTGATCACAATAATACACAATTTATTGTCGCGATCATCTACCAGTCCTAAATCACACATGTTACAGTCAAGTATTTTAGTCACAATCAAGCATTTTAATCACAATTCACAAATTAAATAAGTCACGAATGATTTATTACTTAATTAACTAATCACAAATTACCAAATCATTTGGTCATAGACAATGTTCCGCAGACCACACCTCCCCTCAACTCACCCACCCTACCTCATCTCTCTTACTCTTCACATTCTTGACAACCACTGATTTTCATTTTACCCCACCCCACTATTAAAGCCTCAACTGCGGAAATTCCTTATTTCTAGTATTTGCTTGAGTCAATAAGTTGTTAGAGTCAATAAATTAGTTCCAAAAATTAGGTCTTTACTGTTAGTAATGGGTTCTTATTTTTCTCTTGTAGTTTGGTTGTTATTGGAATTCTATTTTTTCTAACCCTGTATTTAAAGCCTCTCCGCTCTTCAATAAACGTATCCAGTGTTTGCTCATGTGCCTTTTTTTTTTGTGCATTGTATTTTACTAGTCTCTATTTACCTCTCTTCCTAACAATAGTACAGAGAAGTCTTAGTAGAGTTCTATTGTCTTAACAAAGTGGTATCAGAGCAGCTTACGTGTTTTTGAGATGGCAAGCACTACAAATGGTATCAATCCCACAATACCCACACTGCCACTCTTCAAAGGTAGTGGGTATAATATATGGAGCACAATATTGAAGACTCTTTTCATCTCTCAAGACTTGCGGGAGCTTGTCAAAAAGGGGTATAGTACAAGTGAATTTTCGGTTGATGTTCTTAAGGATTTGAAGAAGAAAGATGCTAAAGCTCTTGCTGTCATTCAACAAGCATGAGATGACAACATTTTTTATTGAATTTCTGGTGCAAAAATGTCCATGGAAGCTTGGAACACACTACACAGAGGTTTTCAAGGAACTTCCAAGGTAGTTACTGTTAAGTTACAAACTCTTCGTCAACAATTTGAGAGTTATTTCATGAAGGATGGTGACTCAATTGACACTTGTTTCTCAAAGTTGCTGGAGATCATCAATCAAATTCGCAAGTATGGAGAATCTTTGTCAGATCAAAAGGTTGTAGAGAAAATATTGAGGAGTTTACCAAAAAAAAAAAAAAAAAAAAAAAAAATGTTACTGTTAAGTTACAAACTCTTCGTCAACAATTTGAGAGTTATTTCATGAAGGATGGTGACTCAATTGACACTTGTTTCTCAAAGTTGCTGGAGATCATGATAGGATGAAGCGATATGAAGAAGGAGCCGTTGAGAATGTATTTCATACAAAATTATAGCAATCAAATCACCTAACCAAGGGCGACAATTCCAGCTACAAGCGAGGGCATGGAAGCAATGTGTTACATGGTAGTGGATGCTTTAGAGACAGCTTCGGTGGACATCATTAAACTCATAAGGAAGGTGAACACAGAGAAAGGCCTGACTATGGTGGTACTCACACTCGTAAGCCTCAATGTTATTATTGTAAAACATTTGCCCATATTGAGAAGTTTTGTAGGTTGAAGGAACGTGCTAAAATTGCTGCAGAACAAAAAGAAAGTGAAATAGAAAGTTCATTTTTTGCCTATTATGCTAATGTGTGTGTTGCAGATGTTTGGCATATTGACATGGCTGCAGTAGTCATATGACGGCAAGCTTGGAGGTTTTTTCCACATTGGATAAGTCTGTTACAACCAAGGTGAAGATGGGTGATGGAGCAATTTGTGAAGCACTTGGTCGAGGAGATGTGGTGATAAACTTTGGGAAACCGATGTGCATTAAAGGTGTATTGTATGTTCCTGACTTGGATTCTAATTTATTGAGTGTGGGTCAATTTCTTGGAGAGCGGCATTCCCTTGTGTTTTTTTAAGCAACACTAAGAAGCAGCTTTTACTTAAAGTTCCCATGGCTAAGAATAATTTGTTTTCTGTCACTTTAAATGGTGACAACCATGCACTGAAAGTCTCTTTTGATGATGATACTTGGTTGTGGCATTATAGATACGGACACTTGAATTTTCGAAGTTAGAACATGTTAGCTAACTCTAGTTTGGTGCAAGGTCCGCCTCCTTTACATGCTAAAAACCCCATATGTGAAAGTTATGTTATTGGAAAGCACCGTTGAGATGCTTTTTTCGAAAGGTCAGGTATGGGTAGCCTTAAAACCTATAGATTTGGTGCATGTGGATGTTTGTGGGCCTGTGCGCACACTGTCCTTGAATAACAACAAATATTTTATCGTCTTTGTTGATGATTTTAGCAGGATGACATGGGTTTATTTTGCCAAATACAAGTCTAATGCATATTAGATTTTCAAACACTTCAAGGCTTTTACAGAAAAGTGAAGCGAATAAGCTTTAAAAATCTTGAGGATAGATCAGAGCAGAGAGTTACTTTTCTCTGAATTTGATATTCGAAGACAGTTTACTGCAAGTTTTACACCTCAACAAAACGGTGTAGTAGAGAGGAAAAATCTCAGTCTTGTGGGGATGGCAAAAAGTATGCTTAAAGCAAAAGGTATTCCTAAATATTTCTGGGTGAAAGCAGTTCACACGGCAACCTATCTTCTCAACCGAAGTCCTACGATGGCACTGCATCACCAAACTCCTTATGAAGCATGGTATGGTTGCAAGCCTACTGTAACTCATTTTAAGGTTTTTTGTTGTATTTCTTATGCTTATATTCCCTCTGAAAAAGGGGGTCAAACTTGATAATAATGGTCTTAAGTGCATTTTTGTGGGCTATAGCACTAAGACTAAAGGCTATCGGTTGTATGATCCCCCAACCAAGAAGTTGCTGATTAGTCGTGATGATTTTTTGATGAAAATAACGCTTGGAGTTGGCATGAGCAATAGGTGCAACAGCTTTCAACAATAGATCTTGAGGACTATGAATTTATGGATGCTCCAAATGATGGGAATAGTGAAGATTCTGATAGGGGTGTAACACCTTCAACTAGCTCAACAACGGGTTCAAGCAACCTAAGTACTCCAAGGAACTCGAGCAACCCAAACAATCCGAGTAACCACTCAAGTCCTTCCAACTCAAGCTCGTCTTCTTCAGAATCAGAAACACCTCCAAGGAGTGAGGGTCTTTAAGAGAAATCTACCAAAGAACTGAGAGATGTTGGTTGGCATGTGTTCAAGAACCAAATGGATTTGAGGATGCTGTTCAACATAAAGAATGGTGCATTGCTATGGATGAAGAAATGCATGCCTTGGAAAGAAATAAAACTTGGGACAATGTAGACCTACTTGAGGGCAAGGAAGTTGTGGGACTCAAATGGATATACAAGATTAAGTTCAATAATGATGGTTCAATTCAAAAATACAAAGCTCGTTTGGTTTCTCATGGCTTTATGGAAAGGGAAGGTATCGATTTTGAAGAGACTTTTGCCTCAGTGGCAAGGTTTGATATATTCGGGCTGTTTTAGTAGTAGCTGCTCAACACAAATGGAATATTTTTTCAATTTGATGTAAAATAAGCTTTTCTTAATGGTGTTTTGGATGAAGAAGTTTATGTATTGCAACTTATTGGTTATGCTATTGCAGGACAAAAAAGAAGGCGTGCTGGTTGAAGAAAGCATTGTATGACCTCAAGTAAGCACAAAGGGCCTGGTTTGACAAGACTAATGGGCATTTTCTGAAGCATCAGTTTAAGAGAAGTGAAAGTGAACCATCTTTGTATGTCAAGACAAAGGTTGACATACAAAGGGAGCTGATGAGGTACTTGTTGTATGTCTTTATGTCGATGACTTGATTTATACTGGTAATAGTGTTTGCTTTGATGGATGAATTCAGGAGTAACATGGTTAATGAGTTTGAAATGACTGATTTGGGGTTGATGAATTATTCTTTGGGTTTGGAACTGAAGCAAATTGATATAGGAATTTTTGTGTCCCAAGAAAAATATGTTAAAGATCTTCTTGCTATGTTCAAGATGCAAGATTGTAATTCAGTGAAAACTCCGATGAACACCAATAAAAAACTATGCTTGAATGATGGAGAAGAGAAAGTTGAAGCGGGTCTTTATAGTAGTTTGATTGGAAGCCTACTATATCTTGCTAATAGTAGGCCTGACATTTTGTAAGTTACAAGTCATTTGTCAAGATTTATGCAAAATCCAAGCAAGTTGCATTATAGGGTAGTTAAAAAGGTGCTGTGATATTTGAGATGGACTATTTCTTATGGTTTTGTGTATTCAAAAACTAACAATTTTAAGCTTTGTTGGTATTCTGACAGTGATTGGGCAGGTTCTTTTGATGATCGAAAGAGCACTGTTAGTTCTGTTTTCAATCTTGGATTAGCTGCAATCTCCTGGAGCTCAAAGAAGTAATCATCTGCTATATTGTCTTCATGTGAATCAGAATACATGGCAATTACTTCAACAACATGTTAAGCTGTTTGGCTTCAAAGAATTTTGGCGGATATAAAGCAAAAGCAAGCAGAGGCAACAACAATCTATTGTGATAACCAATCCACAATTGCTATGACGAAAAATCCAATGTACCATAGTGGCATTAAGTATATTGATACCCGACATCACTTTATAAGAGATTTGCTCACAAACAGGAGCATCAAGATATCTTATTGCAATACAAATGAGCAGCTTGCAGACTTGTTTACAAAACCACTTCATTTAATGAAGTTTGAGACGTTCAAAGATCAATTGGGTGTCGCAAATTTTCCGAAGTAAGGGAGAGTGTTAAAGCTACTGTTGCAGAAATTCCTTATTTGCAGTATTTGATTGAGTCAATAAGTTGTTTAAGTCAATAAATTAGTTCTAAAAATCAAGTCTTTTCTATTAGTAATGGGTCCTTATTTTTTTCTTATAGTTTGGTTGTTTATTGGAATTCTATTTTTTCTAACCCTGTATTAAAAGTCTTTCCTCTCTTCAATAAATGTATCCAGTGTTTGCTCATATGCCTTTCTTTTGTGATTTGTATTTTACTAGTCTTTATTTACCTTTCTCTTCCAAAGAGTTGTAGAGAGAAGTCTTAGTGGATTTCTATTATCCTGACGCCCACCCACCCCTACCATCGTCGACAACTATAGAAAGAAGGCAAAAAAATGGCCACCATTGCAACCCCAACTCTCTGCTTCTCAAATCTACCATCACCTTTACCATCCAAATCGCATCCTTCCCTACTTTGGTATACTCCACTCTGCAGCACAACATTCAAAACCACCTCTGTTGGTTCTACTCAAAACAGTTGATGACGACATCATGCTTTCCCAGCAGGACGTCTGAATCTATTAAAAGATAAGATTATTGATTGATGTGTTATTCGGAGATTGTGGATCTGTTGAAGGAAAACGATTTGCTCTCCTCATTTCTCAATCTACTAATCGTCAGACTCTGCCAAATGCAGTGTCTCCAATAGCAACCACCAGATCTGTGGTTGTTGTACCTATAGCACCATCGTCACCATAGTAGCATCTTTGTCACTGACTTTAACAGCTATTACTTCTTGCTTAAACCATAACCCCACTTCCACCCTAAACCCTTTACCACCCCACAGCCCAACTAGTCGCAGTCCGATCCATACATAACCTACAAGGCTACAACATCTAATCTATTATCCAATTATTCATTGGTGGCGATCAGAGGCAGGCCTAGTTACTCGTCGTAAGATCATCAATGGAGGGAAAGATATGGCTAAGCCACAGCACGTTAGGAGGAATTTTTGAGTGATGATGAAATCTTAGGAAATGCAGCTGTAGGGATAAGTAATGAAAACACGCTTCACATGGCGCAAGGTGTGGAATAAGAGTCGGATGCGTGGGGTGTTGCATGAGGAAATGGTGGGCAATGGCTGCCCCACCCGGTATGTTTTCCATAATAGCCTTTGACCAAGTAATTTGTTAAAAAAAAAAAGTTGCATTGGGTTACAGTGATTTTTGGGGGAAAAAAAATGCCCTTGTTTAAGCCTTATTCTTATCGAAAAATGCATTTTTGAATAGTGTACTGATGAAAGATTTATGATTAAAAAATAAAAAAAGCTCATGAATTTGAATGTAATAATTTTTTATTAAATAATGTGTGGTTGAAGTAATGTCAAATCACTCTTGAAAAATGTATTTTGATGGAAAAAATGGGGCTCAAACAAGGGCTATAATTACAACCTGATTTATTAACTAAAACTTTAAAAGTAGGGTTAGAAGTAGTTTTCCCAAAATTTTATTTACAGAAAATCCTTTCTTCCATAGAAAAAATAGAAGTTGGGCTTGGGTTCGTCCCAAACCTAATCTGGTTAGGAATGGCAATCGGGTTAGAGTGACTTGTCAACTTGCCTGTTTGACTTGTATGGGCTCAATACCTAGGCTGTTTCAGCTCGTCTAGGAATGAGCTCAAGCGCTAGTGCGAGTCGAGCACATAAACATTTGGACAAACTGAACCGACAACTCACGGCTTATAGCTCGTGGGCTATTGTTTAAAACGGTCACATTTTAAAGCTCATATTGAATTTAAAATTTTAATTTAGTTTCATTTAATTTAATTTTTTATTTTAAACTCTATAAATACCATCGTTTTAATTCATTTTTTTCACACCAGTACTCTAAAATCTATAATCTACATTCTAAAATGTAAATTTCTCAATTCTCAACTCAATTCTTTATTATTCAATATTCCTCTGCAAATATGAGTTGCACAATTAATTTATTTTTTATTTCATATTTGATTACTTTAATTTCAATTCCTCATCTATTATTTTTAATTTTATATTTCTACTTCCCAATTTTTTTCCTACAAGTGGATCCCAATAACTATGTAGAGGTTATGTTTGGTGGTGGTAACACACCATGACACAATAAAGTGCCTCTTTTATTCGATAATGATTTTGCTGATTTTAATAACATCTGGATTCTAGATCATTTGGGGGTTGAAAATTTGCACGGGATAATAATCCAATTATTTTGGATGAAAAAGAAGAACTCGTAGTAGTAGGTGCAAGAGTTATGGGTAAACAAAAAATAAAATAAATTGTCAAATGCTGAGAACACTTCAAATTGGTTCCATGAGTTGTCCAGTAGATGGAGGCAAGAATCCAACGAAGAATTCAATTATTGCCAAACGAAATTGACATGGCAAAAGGGTGTTGAAACTATCCACTTACATCGACATCACAAGAAATGTTTGGCCAAACATGAAGTTACGGGTCAAACACAAATACACCTCTATTTTAGTTCTCTTTCTCCCGATAATAGTTCTAGCACACTTAGCGCATGGATCTATTCAGGGAAAAGATGTTGTGAGGGAATGGTCAAGTTCGTAATTGGTGTTGAGCTATCACTTAGCCTAATGACAAAAAAATAATTCATCAAATTTGTAAAAGATTATCTTTATTCATGGTACTTTGCAGGCAAGTAAAAACACTCTTCGTTCTAATCAGTTTGATTATTTCAATAGAATAAAAAAATACTGATAATTGATTTACAAAAATATGGAAGTGCTATATCTCTCACATTCAACTTATGGAAAGATATTAATAAAAAAGGTTATTGTAACAACTCGACCTATGGTATCAATCTATTAACTTACGTACTATTCGTTCTAGAAAGGTTTAAACCCATTTTATCCCTCACGAATTTCTCTTCAGGTCTCCAGGATTCAAACCCAAGATCTCTGTCTTATGAGAGACTTATGTTGAATTCTAATACCAATTTTATTTTTTTTAGAACACTGACAATCAAATTAGAAATTATAACCTCAAATTACATCAAATAATAGTAATAGTTATTTTGATGACTTTTGAACATACATGCCATATTTTTGTTTCGAAAAAAAAAAAAAAATCACATATAACCATCTAAAAAAATACTTCCATAAAATAGCCTGTATTTACATTCATTATATAGTATAATATTGTTAAGTATGTTGCAATATACGAGGGAATGAAGGCATGAAAGATTTGTATAAAATAAATATGAGCCGTTCCTTTGTTCAGACTGTCAAGATGTACATAAGCCATGACACTTGTAACGAAATCTGCTACTGATAAGCTAATGAGAAGTCGCAATCTGTCACTCTTCTATAATGACCAAACCATCCCAAGGCTTCGATGGAAATCTATAAATACCCTCTCATTTGAAAAGAGACGGATGCAATTCAAATATTTTCTGCTCCAAGATCTATTTTCCTTCTTGCTCCAATTTGAGCATTAAAAATTGTGAGTTTAGAAAGTGAAAATCATAGTTTGGTGATAGGATTTGTTGATCAGATTTCTATCATCAACAAATTAACACTGTATGTGAAAAATTGAACAACGTAAACTATAAAATTCTCTGCACTGACTAAGAAATCCTTGAGATCTAAAAGGTTGTCAATAAAAATAGATCTAGAAAGGATAAAACATTAAAGGTCGAAATAGAGGAATTTAGTAATGATTCAACCAACAGTGATGTCAATCCTAAAAGAAAGCGGGAAAGAGCACCGACAAAGTTTCAGGCTAATGCTTTTCCTACCCAATGCCAGCAACAGTTGAAAGCAAAATACGCAATGGGTGATGTACATGAAATGGCGAAAAACATTCAAGCATTGGCAGCAGAGAATACATATCTACCTACAAAATGTGAGGATCTAGAGACGAGGCAAAAAATCGAAGATGGTTGGAAAGTATCAATGCTTGGTGTTAAACTTTTTCCAATGACAACGATAATTAACAGACATCACAAACCTGTAAGGTCGCTCTAATAGAAAAGTAGAGAAAGTCACTGATTAGCGAGTCCGAGTCGGGGAGATTGGTGAATTAGGTAAACATGCACTACATGAGGCATAAACATGGGAATGACAGAAAAATAAAGACCTGTAAGGAATCCAAAGATCAATTAGTGACAAAGGGGTATGACAAGAAGGAAGATCTAAGGTATGAAAAAAGAGCAGTCATACAAACGCTCAATAAATGTAAACAAGTATTAACCAAAAGGCTAGATAATGTGAAGCAAAAGGTAAGAGAATCCCTCAAAAGTTACTCGCACATTTTAAAGCTGAAATGATTGCTTACGAAACTATTGCAGACGAAGATGAGAGAAATGGCCTTTGGAAAGGACCCCTCCTGGCGAGAAACCATTAAAAGGTATCCATGCTCCTTTCACCAATTATTATATCTAATTCGCAATGATATCCATGCAAATGATATTTTTGAGAATCGAAGAAGGCAAAAGCAAGGACATCGATAAGAAATCAAAAGAAAATCATACACGTTTACATTTGGATGGCCTATATCATAATATCCTCACTTGGACGGACCCAAGGATCGAAGAACTATGCTTTCCACATCTTTTCAAACTACAAACAAATCATACCTACATCTTAGTGAGTGAAAATTTTGCGAAATCCATCATACATGAGGTCATAAATAGATGAATACTTCGAGGTGCTTAAAATGGCTAGGATGCAATGCAATCAGAGAAACATGTTTATAACTTCGAGGATTTAGATGCCTTTATGTCCAGAGAAAAGGTGGAACAAATAAAGACACAATCTCAAAAGTTATGTAGAGCATAAATTGTACACACTCCCAAGAACTAGGAGCCTATACTAAAAAATTTCTAGATTTAGAGATAATCCTAAACAATTCCTTTGGTTTTCATTGCTTGTTGTTTTGTCTGGTTCAATATTTCCTCTTTTCGGATTGTAAATATTTATCACAACATGGAGTGTGAATCAAACTCATGTTTGAATTGAAATTGAGGAATTCCTTTTTTGTTCCATTCTCAAGTCCCTGAACTTATGAAGTCACGATTTTGTAGTGGTCCAATTCGCTACCATACCACTGAGCCATTTTTTATTAACATGATGACACCGAGCCCTGCAGAAATGATTTGGAAGATCCAAAACAAAAATAGCAGTATTTGCTAGCAATAATATAATGGATGCAATCAATCAATATAGTGCAATGCTATAGCTAACGCATTAAGTATCCCACTTGGGGATTACATTTGTTAGGGAAAAAATCGAACTGCTTGGAGGAGCTAGAGTTGGTAAAACGGTACTCATAATGGAATTGATTAACAATATTGCCCTTTATCTCTTTCAATTATATTTAATATTAATGCAAGGAAATAAATATCTCCAAATGCAATGTACCTAGGAGGTGAGCCGAAGTAAATCGCGATGGCCCTAGCCATCTTTTGAAAGCAAGCTCCATGAATATTCCATCAAATAATTCGTTGATCCAGGGTAGGGTCAACACCTTAGGACCCTTATAGTAAATATATTAGATGATATCGCCTAAATCAAAAGATTTAGTTACTAAGAAACAAATCATCCTGGTAATACAGTTGAAAAAGGAGAAAAATTGCATGCTTTAAAATCTTTATTTTGGAAAGCACGTATTGGATGCTGTGAAGGGTAAGGTGAAAAACATACCCGTCAGTGAAGATAACTTAACGAGTACTAAGGGAAGCATGAACA